CGTATTTTTGAGAAACCTGTTTTAGTGTGTTTGCAAACTTGGGCAACTTATATTGCTTACTCTTGGTTCCCAACATAAAAGTTGTCTTCACAATATTAAAGCTAGAAATGCTCTTTTGAAAAGGAGAAGATTTGAGAGCACAATATTCAGTTACCATTGTAAAAAGTTTTATCTTGATATTCTACTCTGACTCTGGCCAATTTGATCTTTTTTTATCATACAAAATGGTGTAGTGGTAAGGTCTTGATCCTGGCGGTTCCCGGGAATGTGACACAGCACAAGTGATATGTTACCAGACTGAGCTCTAGTTACCCATGCACTGTTAAGGGCCTCCAACTCTTGCTCACATTTTACCTGTAGTGAGGAAAAAGTTCACAATTTTTCAATTTTCAACTCCATAAAGTTCGTTGCATAGAGAAAGAATATGGAGAGAGAGAGAGAGAGAGAGAGAGAGGCATCCTGCTTTCATGTTCTTCTCATGGTCCTGTAGCTGGCTGCACAAAAGCACGGTCAGCCACACGTGCCTAGGCACCCAGAGCTTGGTGCTCTTGAGCACACAAGCACACATGCACTTACGTGACTCAGAGTAAGTTTCACTCCTGTTGTCTGGTGGCTGTTACAGAACAGGAAGTAGGGCCTGTTGGGAGGATTTATTTTAAGAAGCTCTTATGTGATTTTGGTTCCTTTTGGCTGCAGTGTTCGTTGTCAGCATATGGCTGCTCTCTTGGGGATGCTCTGAGTGAGCTGTGTGGCCATCATTGTTTCTCATTTGCCCTGCTGTGCTCCAAACTTAGTGTAGTTTCAGAGTGCTCTGCTGATTTGTCAGGTGAAGCTCCTTGGGTTCCACTTCTCAGATAACCAGCGGTAGTTCACCCTGTCTGCTGTCAGACCTGTTCAACTTTCTTTAAAACTGTTCCTGCTAGTGTAACAGTCTACCAGTATTTTACCATGAAACATATATCCTTCAGGGAGCTTCTGCATGTGTGATGCTCTGGGGAAACTACAGGCAGACACTGCTGTACAAGGTGTACAGTTGCTCACAGTCTGAAACAAGAATAAAAGGCAGAATAATATAGATGAGCATCCTGTAATATGATAGGGATTTTGTAGAAATACCATTAGGAGGATCTTTATAGTAATTCCAATACTTTACCTGTAATGCTTCGTAATACTTTTGGAAATAAGATGGCTTTAATTGTTCTAAGAGCTCCAAATAATAAAATTGTTCTTAACTTGGGACTTTTGCTGCTGGTTTCTCTATCAGCTGTTGAGGAACAAGCCATGAGTTCTTTCTTATCACCATTGCCTGCTGGGTGTGTTTGGAGTTCCTTGGTTTTGCTTTTAGTCTGTTGGGGAACATTGGCATAGAGCCTGAAGCATAATGGTGGAAGAAGAATGAAGGTATTTGCTTTGGTCATCAGCAATTTTCAACAAAGCTGACAGCTCAGTCTGGTGGATTTTCCAGGAGTTCGTTGTATTGTATGTTGCTTTCAAGATTTTCCTGCTGGGCAGCACTTACTTTGTGGATGTTTTGTGCTCACAGGCTTCCAAGCAATGTAGGCTTCCCAGTGTAGGTCAAATTCCCTTACACTTTCTGTCTTCTTGCTTACAGCACTTTCTACAAGAGTCTTCTAATAGTATCACATTATTTTTTGTTTTCCTTAATTATTAGTTCTAAAAAATCTGTCTTGTACTCTTTGTAGAGAAACAATCTAGTCAATAAAAGCAGAAATTGAAAAACAGTTGGCTGTGTTAGTAGAGCTCTGAGAATCCAATCATGCTGGTTTCTGAGTGTAGTTAGCATTTTGCTTTGATGCTGTGAGTCCTGTACCTTCACCCTGTGAAGGGTGAATACAAAAATAGAATGTTGGTGCTAGTCCAAAACTTCATATGTTTATCATTTGTTACCTGAATTTCACATACGTGCAGAACTGTGCTTGAGAAGAGAAGTTTTCTTTTGAGGTGTTTGATTTGGGTTGGATCTACCCAGAAAATGCCTTGTGCTCTATTATTTGGATTTTGCAGGGTTTTTTATCCATCCGGAAATAAATTTCCTGAAGTTCTGAGTGGAAAAAGGTGAAATAAGATAGAAGATGCTCATGTAGACAATTTCACACATGTTCAAAGGGTTAGTCTTCAGATTTTTGCCAAGTTTTGTACAAAAGTTTGGTCTGGCTCTGATGTAATCCACAGTGATTCATCTGCTTCTCACTGTCTCCCAAGAGAGTGAATTACCCTATATATCTCCAAGATACACTATCAACACAACAGACAGAGGTACACTAGAAAACATACTGTTCTGAGATCAAACCCTTTCCATGTGATAACTAGCAGATACATTGAAATGTCCTTTCTTGGTTTTCTAGATTGTCCATTTTTTACTTCCTCTGCCTGGAAAAAGGTGAGGCAGAGAGACAAGCTTACCAGTCAGAAGAATAAGTTTCTTTCCTGATATGGAGCACCATAGTTGGGAAGGTTATTTTCTTCTTCCTGCTAATTCCCTTGGCATTTGTGTTGTTTTCCTCAGATATTAGCAGTATCAGCTGGAAGAAATGGTCCTATTTGGGATAAAACCTTATTTATTTCCCCCATTTTTTTTTTACTAGACAAGAAAACTATGTCATTTGAATAATAAGAATCAGGTTTCTATTTGTACATCTGCGTTTCTCCCCAACATTTATCTGTTAATTTGACTGATTTGCAGCCCTTCTTCCCCTCCCTTCTTGCTGTTAACTAATAGACTTTGGCATTAAGCCAGCCTTTCAGTGCACACACCACCATGCCAATGAGAATGTGTGCAGCTATTCTGTCTGCTTTGGAAGCCTACAGATGCAGCCAGAGCTAGAACAATTCCCGTATTGATCCCGCACTTGTCAGTTAATCCGTCATAAGGCATGGGAATCCTAGCCCCTTCCACATCTGCCTGCATAACTGCAGGGGGAAAACCAATTCTCTGAAGCTCTCACCAGGGAACAAGAAAGCAAAGAGAAATGAGAGCTTGCTGGGAGAGAGGGCTGTAAGCTGCTGGGCCAGAGGGCCATGAGATTGCCTACCTGCTCCACCCTTTTCCCCCCAACTCCTTTTCATCCTCCTGCAGGTCAGCAGGATCAGGTTTATGTTAGCAAACCATGAAGCTTATCAAATAAATGTTGCAGCAGCAGGTGTTTGGCTCTCTCCACAGGCCAAGTCTAACAAGGTTGATATTGTGTCTGTGGCCAAAGTAATGCAGTAATTACTTTGCTGGGCTTGGAACCCCCAAGAGGTTTCTGGGAACCAGTTAGAAAAACAAACCTTGCTAAGAGCAGGGAATTTTTGAAAAGGAACAGTGGTGCTCTCTGTGCCAGAAGGAGAGGACAGACATTTTGAGTGCCTCATCCAGCACAGTGCCCCATCCCCTCATAGGTTGCTCATGTTACAGGGGCCTGGAAAGTGCTTGAGTTTGGTTGCTCAGGTTGGGATGGGCAGCTTATTTTAGCCCATGGTGGAATGTGGAAAGGCAGTTGCTTTCTATAAAGCCATTAATGTGTACTGCAAGAAAAGCGAACCCTAGGTTGGGGGGACCCTTGAGTGTTTGCAAATCTCTCTGTGTAATTCAATATGACTTACACATCAGGAGTTGCATAGCAAAGCGTTCCCACTGCTGTCTGTTTCTTGCTTTTGAGCATTTCCTTTGTAAGCTTTGAGAAACTGAGTTATGGACCGTGATGCCACCAAATTACACCAAAGGAGGAATGAGATCTCACAGCACAGCTTTGCTGTGCCTGTGTCCCTTTATCTCATGTAGTCACTTTAAGGCCATGGAGGTAAAAGTTAAAACAGGTCTGTACAGTGATTACATTTAGAGGCAGCAATCTTCATCATTCTTTTTGAAAGAATATCGATCATTTGGGCCAAAGCTTTTTCCCTGTAGCTGATTATTACACATGATAACGCCTCTTACCATAGGCTAAGTAAACCAGCTTAAGTAATTGCAAAAATGTCCTGAACTACTGGAAATTTCTTCTGCAGCTGTGGTCCAGGAGACCAGAATTTGAAAGTGAGAAGAGAAGGAAAGTAAAACTGATTAGAGATTTATAGGATTGCCCATTTGACTTGAACCTCATAGGTTTAAAAAAATACTTTTTTATACATGAAGAAGCTCTAAAATTCTTACTACCTATAAGGAATTCTTTAGGCATCCTTCTCTGCTGTTAAATCAAGCTACCAAGCAATGGCTTTGTAGTGATGAATGAATTTTCCCAAGCTAGGAAAGTTAGCATTTCATTAATGTCTGGCAATGCTTTCCCATTTCTACTGTTTACATTAAGCTCTATTTTTACATATTACTTTGCATTATGAAGGCCTAGTGCCTTGGTGACAGTCCATAGATACCATGCCGTTTGCTCACTGTTCTTCAGTGTTTCTTGCTAAACTGTTTTATTCTCGGTATGTTTGCTGAGCGTACTGTAACTGAGCTGCTGTAAAAGCCCTGCTATGAATGCCATGGCATGCTAGTCCCCAGTGTTTAATTTTGTGCTAGGAATACTATGCACTTGGAGGTGAGTGCTATGAGTAGGTCTCATAGCTTCTTGAAGGTATTCAGTGACTTTCCATAAACACTGCCTAGTGTAGCAAGTAGTGAAAAATTGCTGTACCAAGACTGCTGGGAGGGAACGTACGGGAATTTGCCTCAGCATTATTGCTTTAAAGGCAAACCTTAGTCTGCTCTTGAAAAATGGTGATAGGGTTTCTTCCACAGAAATTTCCCCATACTGTAAATGCAATACAGATCAGCTGAAAATCAGGCAGGGTATGTGCATCCTAAGATGGCCAAGATGGTGCTTATAGAGCTCACTACTTTAATCTGGGACACATTTGCACAATATAGACATTTTGTTTCATTTAACATAGTACTTTAATTTGATTCCTGTATATTTATTGTTGAAACACTTGTATGGCATCTAGAAGACCACACAAACCAGCTTAACTAGGACAGATTTTTTAATCATGTATTTTGCAAACATTGTCATTTGGAGGATAGTTGTCATTTGGAGGAAGCGTTGCTGCAGAATTTGGTCGACCTGCCTATCTGAAGTCTCAGATTCTGAGAGGAGACAGAGGCCCATATATTTATTATACTGTAAAAAGCAACAACCCAACTATGGCCAACTATAAGAAATCTCTACTGGATAGGAGTGGATCAGCAAGATGCCATTCAAGAACGAGCTGTTCGACAATGTTAAAAAGAGGCTGAGGCATGATAGGATTGGTGTTGCAGTGGCAGAGCTATGTATGAGAACCTCACACATGACTTATCAGTGTTCGCCTGAGTGTAACTGGACATGAACCAGAATATATTTGCTATTAATATTGCAGCTGTGATTTTTTTTTTCTTTTTTTTACTTTTATGATTAGAAGAATGTGCCAGCTGTGTGTGTGTGTTCTGGCAGTGGAGGGATGAAAGAGCTTACAGTTTCCATATGAAAGTAAGAGCATGCCTTCTCTAGACCCAAAACATTTATGAAAGTACTTTATAAAACTTAAGAAATAGTGACAAACAGGAAAATAAGTGACAGTGGATTTGACCAAGGTATTTTATGTACTGTGATGTTTTGTGTAGTCGTCTGGAAAGAAATGGAAGAAATCTTTTGAAGGTCATTGATTGGAAACAGTTTTTATTACTGATCAAATTCACCTTTGTCAAAAAGATGATTATTTAAATATTAGCATGTTTTACTCCCATGGCACAAAACTGATTCAAAGACTTGATCTGATAGATAAAGTGTTAAATGGCTCGTTAGATTAGATAAGGGAGTTGGAATGTATTTGATGTTAAAATTGCATCCCTACATGCCATATGAAATCTCTCTTCATCTATCATCCAGTGAAATATATTACCTGAATATAGGATGCCATCTGTGTGTTGTACAGTCTTCTGAAGGCTGGGAACTGGTTTGGACATTACTTTGTATTTATTACTTTTTACTCATAGTGATAAAAAAATGTTGGTATTGGCTATAAAGAGATGAAAACATGTTGAAGTTTTCAGGTATTGGTAATAGACACCAGAGTTCTTACCTAATAGTCAGTTTACAGTAATATCTGGGCTATATCTGAAAGAAGAAAAAGGGACTGCTAACCAACCTGAAGAGAGTGGATTTCATTCCATTCTTTAATGGAGCAGATTATTCCTGGCCTTTTAACACAGAAATTGTCACCATGAATAGAGTTACACAGCCCCCTGCAAAGACTGTCCTCTAACATAAAATACCTAATATTGTCATTTTTTGTCAGATTCCAGAAACAAGTTAATGGTGTGACTTACTTGACAGGATACTAAAAGCACATCTATCACTTTAATTCATTCATTTTTCCTTGATTACAGTCTTCTCTTACTCCATGGCCCAGATCCGTCAAACTTATTTTTAATGTAGCCCATTTCCATTCATGGTGTATGGTCAGAACAGGAGTTTAAATCTCCAGAATAAATCTTAAGCCCTTAATACACCATGTGATTTCTGACCCAGCAAGGACTTGGATCTCACAGCAAGAAAGTGATATCAGTCTTCCCATTTCTTGTCTGAACCTGCTGAGAGCCACTGTGGATACATGTCAGAGCAATAGTGATGCAGTTGCTGAAGATGCCATCAGTGTTTCCAACAGGACTCCTAAAAACCAAACCAAAACAAAGACTTCTTTCTTGGCTTGAAGAATTGATTGTGAGAATTAAAAGGTTTTAGTTGTAATTTACCTTTTCATTGTATTTTCCAAGCCTGTGATGAGTAATGATAGCCATTGACCAGTTACTAGCATGACGTATGCATGTATTTTGTGTTTGGGAGCCAGTCCTGATGTGACTGTGAAGTATGCCTAGACACTACCTAAGCACAGTTTTTCTTCTTATGGGTGGTATTGTATATTGAGCATTTAAGCATCATTTGAACACTCAGTGTTGCTTGAATGACTTGTCATACCCCTCCTAAATCTTTTGGATTCTCAACATGGGCGATTATTTTTTTAGTGACCTGCTTTCAATTAAAAAGTGATAAAATCAGCCCTCGACAAGTTTATCATGAACTAATTTCAAGTGCTCATATATTCCAAAAAGTGAGTCTGAGGCAACAGACTCTTAATAAAGCATGAAGATATGAACCCCTAGAAGAATCAATTGGGAAGGCTCCCTTGAACAACTGCCTGTGAAGAGTTGCTTCTTGTCATCTCCAAGACAACTGGTTATCACTGTGATTTAAAGTCTCTGGAGACAGTGAGACTATTTTTAGGAAACATATTCAGCAGAAATTAGATAGTACTCAGGTCTTTACATAGGTCAATCTGAGTAGCCTCAAGAATGCATGCAAAACTAAATGGCACTTACTGTGAGACTCAGTCTGACTTTGTATTTAAAAAATTCAAATGAAATTTCAGAAAGTTCCAGCTGGAGTGCTAAAAATTTCTATGTTGATTTTTGGGAGTGTGAGCCATTTTATAATGGTTCATGCAGTTAATGCTAAAGAAATAGGAATTTTAAGGTTCACCTCATGGCAAACATATGAAGTCTGTAATAGCAGAAGGAAGACCAGTGTGCCTGGAAATGATAGATTCAAATTTTCCTTGTTAAGCTATTAAATTTGTCTATTTTCCTCTTTCTGAAGTTGTCTTACATGTATCTTTTCTATGCTAGTTGTTGAGTAAGTGGTGAGATATTAAAATATATGTATCTATATATAAATATCTACATTAGTAAGACAAATGTAGATTAAAAAAATCCTTATGTTTTTTTGGATTAGTGGTCTTAGGCTACTGTTAAGATTCGTGTTTCCCAGTCATTTAATATGTTGGAAATTTAATCAAGGGGTATCAAAGGATATACCTTTGGCCAGGGGAAAATAATTTAGCAAAGAAAAGGTAGGAATGGTAGAGATAGGAAGTCTTAATATGCTCCCATGAGACAGGACAGAAAGAAAACAAATGCAAAAGAAGACTAAAGGAAAGAAAAGAACCATAAGGGAAAAAAAATTAAGGGGTGGGGAATGGAAAACTGGAATTAGGAAGGGACCTTAAAAAAAAAAGCATAAAGCTTTGTCCATGCTGCCAACAAATCTATTTTGCTCAATTTTGGCTAAGCTAGATAAACATTTTTTCTGGCATATATAGGTGATGGCCCAAATTTGTTTGTTACAAGTAGGTTGGAAAAAACTTTCCAAAAATGCTTTTGCCTAGTCTCATGAATTGTGCTAAATCATATTTTTACTCTGATTCAAAAAAATTTGGCCCCACAGAGGCCAGCTAAACACCGAGGCAGATCAGACAGTTGGATTTCGCAGCTGTTTTTACATTCTGTGGTTTTAGCTGTGGGGATGTGGCTTAACTGCAACATCCCGTGAGATCTCTGAGGGAAGAAGGACCCCAAGGTAGCATTCTCCAGCTCTGCCAAACATCAGGAACAGCATAAGCAGGGAGATTCAGCACTCAATACTCTTGATGTCTGTAGTGTAAAATCACAACAAAAATGCCTGCAGCAGAATATAACACAAAGAAACCAAAGACACGGGCAGTCAGTGTGAGTGTGTTTGTTCTACACAGCACGCCATTCCAGTGATTATAAACATGATTTTATTATTTCTTCAATGTCTAATCTGCTACTGCTTCAATTCGTCTGAATGTTGCAACTTGAACCTGTTTGTTTTAGTTGAGCTGAGAAAAAACGAGGCTTGTAAGCGTGAGTCTAACTCTTCTTATGTCAGTTCCAGCGTGTACAGAAGAACTAATAAGGGATGTGTTACATGGATTCTGGCCATTAGAAAGATGGTCTATATCTGTGGTCCTTAGGACTCACAGTGTTCCATGGGATGTAGGGCATTAGTTTCGGGCAGCTAGCTAAAGGCATCCTTGTCCTATTCAGCCATATTTCTCTGACGTGCCTCCGTTGAGAGATAATCAAGGAACAATTGAGCCACTCAGCCTTATTTTTCTGACAATCTGAGTACCTAAAGATCCTTGTGCTGTTACTGGTTGTTTTGTGATAGCATCTGTGACCCCTATTCAGTATCCAGAGCTCCACAATGCAAGGCAGTGTGTGCACACAAAGAATAAAAAGATGGCCCTTGCCCTTACAGACTTCAAATATGGTTTATGGTTCATCCAGCAACTCAGTACGTCAAACTGAGCACCACTCATTATCATCATGGCTAGGCTTCGCGAACGAAGATTTGGGAAGGGCTCTACCCACGTTTCTTGCAAGCGCGTTGGTGGCTAAAAAGGCCAATATGAGAAAGGCATGTCCGGTTGCAAAAGACACAGCAGAAAGACTCCTTAGGTGGTATATTCTGTAAGGCTCGATTCTTTCTGCATTGTCTTTTCTCCTCAAGGGTGATCCTGCGCGCTTTCTCAAAAGCATCATCAGCGTTATAAATGGTTTGTCTCCAGGCCTCCCGATTGGAGGCCAGAGTAGACCAGTTATGGTGATCAATATGCCCGAGGCTGAGTTGTTGCTTCAGGGAGTCCTTGTATCTTTTCTTTGGGGCTCCTCTCTTGCGGCAGCCAGTGGCAAGTTCACCGTAAAGCAGGATCTTGGGGAGGCGGTGGTCCTTCATCCTAGAGACGTGCCCAGCCCAACGCAGCTGCGTTCTCAGCAACATGGCCTCAATACTTGTGATTGCTGCCTGTTTGAGAACAGATGTATTGGTCACATAGTCTGACCAGTGGATGTTTAGGATTGTGCGGAGACAGCGTTGATGGAAGCGTTCTAGGAGTCGCAGGTGGTGGCGGTAGATGACCCATGATTCGGAGCCATATAAAAGAGTAGACAGCACTATGGCTCTGTAAACACTGATCTTGGTACTTTTCTTCAAGTGTTTATTTCGCCAGACTCTTTTATGAAGCTTTCCAAAAGCACTATATGCCTTTGCTAACCTGTTATCTATCTCCCCGTCAATCTTACCATCCGAGGAGATGAGGCTGCCTAAGTAATTAAACTGTTGGACTGATTTGAGTTCTGATTGGCCGATGGTGATGTGGGGATGATGGGGGACTTCCTGAGGTGCAGGTTGATGGAGAACTTCAGTCTTCTTTAGGCTGACTTCCAGCCCAAAGAGCTCAGCAGCGTCTGCAAAGCAGGATGTTAAACGCTGCAGAGCTGCTTCTGTGTGGGCAACAAGGGCGGCGTCATCAGCATAAAGCAGCTCCCGGACAAGATGGTTTAGGGTCTTGGTGTGGGCCTTCAGTCGCCTTAGGTTGAATAGGCTTCCGTCAGTACGATATCATATGTAGATACCGTCCTGATCATCGAGGTCTGCCGTGGCCCTTTGGAGCATCATGCTGAAAAAGACTGTGAATAGGGTAGGAGCGAGAACGCAGCCTTGTTTCACACCATTCTTTATTAGAAAGGGCTCAGAAAGTGTGTTGCCATATCTGACTTGGCCATGCTGATCCTCATGGAGTGAGATGATCATTTTAAGGAACTTGGGGGGACAACCTAAACGTTCCAAAATCTGCCAGAGACCTTTTCTGCTCACAGTATCGAAAGCCTTGGTGAGGTCGACAAAGGTTACATAGAGACCTTTGTTCTGTTCCCTACACTTCTCTTGCATTTGTCTGAGAGCAAATATCATGTCTGTGGTGCTCCTGTTGGCTCTGAAACCACACTGACTTTCAGGTAGAATTCCTTCTGCTATAGCAGGTATTAGTCTGTTCAGGAGTATTCCTGCCAGGATTTTGCCAGCAATGGAGAGCAGAGTAATACCACGGTAATTTGAACAGTCTGATTTGGTACCTTTCTTCTTATACAAGGTGATGATGACTGCATCACGAAGGTCTGGAGGTAGTTCGCCTAGTTCCCAACAGCGCACCACAAACTCATGAAATTTAGCATGGAGTGCAAGGCCCCCATGTTTCCAGACTTCGGGTGGAATTCCATCAACCCCAGCTGCCTTGCCGATTTTCACCTGCTGTATGGCCTTGAGGGTTTCTCCTAAAGTGGGGGCAGTATCCAATTCGTATTTCACTGGTTGTTGTGTGATGGACTGAATTGCTGAGTCTTGTACTACACGGTTGGTACTGAAAATAGTCTGAAAGTGTTCAGACCATCTATTCAGAATGGAGGTTTTATCTGTCAGAAGTGTTTGACCATCTGCACTGAGTAATGGGCTTTGGACTTGGTATGTAGGCCCGTATGCTGTTTTCAGGGCCTCATAGAATCCTTTGTGATCCCCTGTATCTGCACATAGTTGAGTTTTTGCAGCTAGATCGGTCCACCACTTATTCTGGATGTCACGGAGTTTCTGTTGGAGCTTGCTGCATGCAAGACGAAAGGCTGTTTTTCTTGCGTGACAGGATGGCAGTGCAAGGTGTGCTTGGTGGGCAGTTCTCTTCTTCCTCAACAAGTCCTGGATTTCTTGATTGTTTTCATCAAACCAGTCCTTGTTCTTCTTGAGGGAGAACCCTAAGGATTCTTCAGAGGATTGCAGGATGCAGCTTTTAATATGATGCCAAATTGTTTCAGGGGAGGAAACTGCAGAATCTGTGGAATGGTTTTCGAGCCTAGTTTGAAGGTTTGCCTGGAATCTTTCTCTTACTGTGGCTGATTGGAGATCGTTAACTTGGAGTCTTCTCCTTGGGATACTGCCCCTTTTGGGTTTGAATTTGAGATTAAAGTTGAGTTTACAGCGCA